GAAAGCAAAATCCGGGAGCGGAGCAAAGGAAAACAAACGACAGACGGACAAATGAACAACGAAAAAATACAACAGAACACAGGGCATCGTGAACCAAAACGTCGAGCTGAGAGAACATAAAAGTGATACTTAAAATCCAACGGAAAGAAATAATAATAATAATAACTGGCGTTCTACTTTCTGAGCGCAAAGGCCAAGCGGAAGCTACAGGCAAGGGCTGGTGTTGGGGCTGTTCAGCTCGAGGGGATCGGGCCGCATCCAAAGGCGCCGAAGGAAGCGCCGGGTGTTCCTGGCGCCAGCCCACGCGCCCCGAGCGGGTCCCGGCCGCCACTCGCACGAGCACGAGGGACCGCAGGGCCAGGCGTGTTCCTGCCACCAGCAAGGGCACCAGGTGCCCGTCCCCGCGGCCCCACGGCTGCCCCGGGGCTCCTGGAGGCGCCACCGGATGCGTTTCCCACTTCCACACCCCAGGCACCAACCAGGCAGCTACTTGCATCAAAGCTGATCGTAAATTTAGGAAATCCATCAGCAATCGGATCAGCGAGGGGCTGAGTTATTTGCAACTCGCACCCACCGCCCTCGTTTGGGTGAAAGCTCCGACGCGGCAGCTCAGAAAGCAGAAGGTGGGACCCACGGCATAAGAAGCAAAAAAGCTGCAAAGGAAAAGCAGGAAGGGAGCAGGGCCCGGCAGCGGCTCCTACCTTGGCCTTCTTCTCCGGGCTCGGCGGGAGCTCCTTGTTGGGAGCTGGGCTGATATCGTTCCCTGCCGCCGCCTCCGCCGCTTTGCTCTCTCCTGGTTTGGCTGCCGAGAGAAAAGGAGGGTTTCTTAACTTCAGGCACTTTCGGTCTGGTGCCTTTATTTCTTTATGGATGTTAATGCAGGAAGAGGAGGAGGCAGAAGTGGAAGGGTTACAGGTTGGCTGCTCGGGGAGGCCCAACGCGGCGCGCCGGCGAGGCCGTCCCGGTGCCACCGCGATGCCGCAGGGACAGCAGAGAGGGGCACCGCCAGCCTGCCCATCGTACAAGGGCTTTTAAAGAACAGATGGTGGAGGGCTGTTAAACGCCGATCTCCCTCCGCGACCCCCGGGCGGGACATTGTGCAGCCATCCCTGCTCAGCTCCCGCCTGCTCCTATTCTACAGCAGCGGCCCCCGGCCGGAGCAAGGAGCATTCCCAGCAGAAGGAGCGAGACCAACACCCGGGAAGGCCGGGAAGGAGGCGGCAGCGCGGAGCCCGCGTCCCCGCGCGCACGGGCCGCGCCGCGACCGCACGACCCGCTTTGGAGATCACCATTGCACGGGGCATCTTCCCACTCGGCACACTTCAAGGGAGATTCCCAAAGAATATTCCAGCCAGAACACTCCAAGAATATTCCATTCCAGAAACGCCACTGCAGAAACCAGCAAAAAAGTCAGCGCTTTCTGCCAATTTTGGGGATGTTCAACCAAAGCACGCTTGGGGGGTTGGTTTTTGGTTTTTTCCCCATATTTTCGGCCTCCCTGGCAATTTGAGCAGCTGTTTCCCTTGCACTGCCGTAGCTTCTACCTTGCCACTTGGCTTCCAAACCAGACTGACGTTGTGCAGCACTGAGCTTAATGTCCTACGCACACAGAAAAAGACTCCTGAGAAAACGAGCATGGGAATGTCCAGGTTGGACGTTATTAATTTTCTTGCACAATTCCCAAGACTCAAGGATCATTCATGTTCATCTAGAAAGCCCTTTTTTCCCACAGATAATCTATACTGGTCCTCTAAACCAGTTTTCTCCACTGAATTTCAACACACCTTTATTTTCTCTCCCATTTAATTTGTCAATTTTATCTACAGCAATACTGGAAAAAGTGGCCAACAGCTCCCGTCAGCAAACAGCCAATTTTTGTCCTTCCGCTGCTCCTCGCTTCCCATGCCCAGAGATTCCCCTCGAATCCTCCCGGCTCAGGTATCGGAGCCACCAAGGTGACTCTCCAGCTCCCTGTCCCACGCTGCCAATCGCTACGATTATTTCAGCTAATTCAGCTAATTTCCGCTTTTGGAAAAAGAACAATCTCCAAGAC